GTAGTAGTAGTAGTAGTAGTACATGCTAAGCCGTTTGTGCCCACAAAATAACTAGCCCAGGCTATTGCTGTTGCCACTTTCAGCCCTACGGCTGATGAACCAGCCTTTAGAAATTCCGCATCCACCCCCAATCCTACTCTCAATCCGAACTTGTGCGCCCTCAGCAGTTTCGAGGGCCGGCGGGCGGGTTGTTTGAGACCTGGGCTTGGTTTGAGACGAGTTCACGGAGTGATGCCGCCACGTACAGTGCGAGATGAGGATGTATCAGCAGGACGATTAAGGGCTTATAGGAGCTTAAGCAAAGTATGGTGCAGCAGCTCTGAGGCGGGCATATACAAATCTGTGCATAAAACAATAAAGTATGGACCGACAGCATTTCGGAAAGGGGGTAGCCTCGCCCTAATTTATAGTCCAACGATAGCACGAGGGGGAGTCGTGCAGAACATCATAATTAAGATCGAGTTGCACACACCTGCAAGACCCCGAAAACCGAATCTCGAGCATACAGTAGTATTGAAACGCTCTTCCATCCTCCTGATCTTGAAGCAGAGAACATGTACTACACTTCAGAGACCCGAGAAGCCCCAAAGCCCTTCGTACATACTGCTTTCACCCGATGCCGTCGACCTGGCGATTGGGATCCATGCAGCAGCTCTTATGAGCAACTCTGCCGCAAAAGGGGCAAGTCATATATGCATGTTTGTGATAGGGCCTGGAAATTGAATGCTACATGCAGCTATATGTAGGCGACCCTTGTGTACCTCGATCCTTGCAGTGTCATCCTTGTGAAAGGTGGCAGGGTTTTCCAATCATCCATGTCTTGATAAGCATGCGCTCCAAAGTTCTCTGACCAGCCAAATGGGGCTGCGACTCCTCTGCTCACCTTCTGCCAAAAAGCAGCAGGTAATAAGATGTGCAGGATTGAACATCCAGTTGTTTTTTCAATCTTACTCCATGTGTTTGAACGGATGAAGGGGTGGTTCAAGATGAAATCGGTTCTCATGTGGCCGGTGCATCTTCTGGGCCAAGTAAGGGTATGCTATGGGACGTACTCTGAAGCATGGAGCTTTGGGCTCGAGAGTTTGAAGTGCACGGATTGTGGTTGCTTTGGGTTGCAGCTCGCTCGCGCTCGCTCGCTCGCTCTCGCTCCCTCTCTCTCTCTCTCTCTCTCTCTCTTTCTCTCTCTTCTTTAGCTCCTGGGCAAGCAAGAACACTTAAGGGAGCTTAGGGTTTTGAGGTTAGGCCTAGTTTGCTTTTGGGGTATAGTATGTTCTTAAAGGGCAAGGTCTGATAGGGCTGATAGAGTTTCTATGTTATTGCAATCACAGCACAAAACAAGTGGGTATGGGCTTCAAAGGGTTCAGTTAGGCCTTCATAGGTCTTGTACAAGCTCGTGCATACAATATAGGGTTGTCACGTTGCCTGTGTATCTTGGGGGCGGGTCAACCAAAGTCCACAGTGGTTGATGACTTCAAAAAGATGACTTGCCGCACAGGCACCATCAAGCAGAGCATCCATGAGCTCAGGCAGATCCGCGTGACTTTTTTGTCAAGGGTACACCCAGGCGGTTACCATCCTCGTCGCTCTTCCCGACGCAACCGTACCAGCCAGCGCAACATTAGGGTTACATCTACCTATTTGCATATTCAAGGGCCGTCCTTCAAGAAATGCCCCACTCCCAATTCTTACTCTTTGTGCATTTGAGTTGCTCCAGGACTTGACTGCTGGTTGTGTTCCTTGGTGCTGCACGTCTGCAGTTGACATGCAGCTCATGGACAACATCCGGCATTGAATTACCCCAAGACGGATTCTCCTCATAAGTACCCATGTTTCGGCCTGCTCAGGTCAAAGTAATGCAAGATTTGGTCAGCAACCGTTTTCCTCCGAAGGACTCATATTTTGATGCTGTGGGCCCCAAGGTCCATAGGCAAAGAAAGTGTCGTCTAAGCAAAAGTTATGTTGCTCCCCATATTTTGGGCACCGTATCTTTCTTTGAGGTTTGGGGCAGTCGAGCGCAGCACCCCGCACCCTAAACGAGCAACTCCTGCCCCCCAAATGCCTCCAAAATCCTCATCCCTCAACCCTTAACCTTGGGTACTGCCCCCACTCTGTAAGAGTTGATAATCGAGTATTGCTCAATTTTTGGTGCCAAGCAGCTGCCAGGGCCATTCCTCAGATACTACAATATACTACAGTATACTGTACATAATCTAATTACTAAGGTTCGTCGAGTTTTTGTACGGGGGGTTGCACATTGTTTAGGTTGCTTGTGATGTTTGTTTTGTAAACGGTTGGAAGGATTACTGTCTGTGCTCGTGTATGCATGTGTCTATATGTAGTTATGCAAGGTTGCTCAAGGCTTCTTGCGACAAGTCTCAGTCTAACCCACGAACCTATCATTTCAGTTGTCCAGGGTACCCGTGGGCATCAAAACCAAAATCGTTCACCGAACCGTTTGCATGGATTGACACCTTGTCATGGAGATGGTCCAGGGCCACGATGCAAGAGTCCATGTTCTGGATCAGCCTGAACTCCAATGGGATATACTCGAAAATCGAAACCACAGTGAAGCTGACCCTGACAAACAATTGTTAAGGCGTTAAGGTCTTGGTTCACAGGCCCGGGGCTTCTTGCTGGACGGGCCGTGCGCTCGGCAGCTGGCACTGCATCCAAACGGCCTCGGCAATCAGAATGCTTGCTGCTGCATGTCGTAAGCCCAGCTTGGTAAGCCGTGGTGTATGCGACACGTACACAAAAAAACATGCGTGCATGTCTGAAAACACACAGGGCCGAAGAAACGGGCCTCTCAATCCGGTAGCACTGCCACGTAGAGAAGCCCTGAAAACCTTCATTTCCATATAAGATAATCTAACACTATATCCTGATTATCAACCACAAACCCTTATACAGCCCTAAGCTCTTTGCGTTATCATAAACTATATAAGCCCACACATGGGCTTTTAACCTCAGGATGGGGCACGCTGCCACAGCCAATGCCTTACAGATCATGACCCCCATTTCACATGTCTTGAAAACGTGAATGCGTGCCAGCATGGAACCTCTCGAGCTCGAGCCACTTTCTTGGGGAGCCCAAATTTGATTAACCTTGGAAGGTGACAATGATTCTGTAAGGGGCTTAAGGCTTAAGTCGTTTTGGGCTCTTCGGGTATAGACTTGCCTGTCCTCCTGCTATACCGAACCCCATCCGTAGCAGCACATGGCCGGCTCGCCTCGTGAGGACACTTAGGGAAAATCAGGGGCCGCCTGTGGGACACGTTCATGAAACCTAGCTGACGAGCCTACTATGGAGAAACCGAAATAGTCACACATGTCAGTATGGCTCCGATGTTTACTTTTGAAGCTTGTCAGAAGCGAAGGGATTTCCGCAACCCCTTTGCGATTTTCGTAGTGAGCTGTATAATCTGTTACCATGTACTCTATGTTGGAATAGATTACACTGAACTAATATCTTTTATGTAAACGCTCGTTGTGTTTTCTCATCGTCTTGTTCAATTTCCCGAAGAAGGATGCTGTGGGCACTGTCCTGTTGCAGTCCGGCCTCCACATCGCAATCGACCATGCTGGCGCAGGGCCGATGGGTCATCATTTTGCAAGCACGTTTAGTATTTTTGAGTGCTTAAATTGAAGTCGCGCTGTGTTTGACCATTACTTATATCCGACAAGGCATACATCCGCTCTTTGCTTTATATTGCCCCAGCGATCGCTCAGGCCTTCGTTGGAGGTGCTCCAGCCTGAAAGCTTAGAAGTGCCGATCGGTCGCGGCGTGCTCGTGGCTGTAGTTGTTATGTTTTGCCTCATGTTGTTGCTGGGTCCGCAATATAGAGCGTTTTGTTTGTGGGGTGAGGTTCGGGAGGCCTCTTTTGTGGTCAAAGAGAAACTAAAACAAATCCGTTTTTATGCCAGGGGAATGAGGACTGAGGCTGCATGAGCTGTACGTGGAAATGGGAGGGAAGCCGCTGCTTGCAAGACGCGATGGCAGCAACTCTACACTTCTTCAGGTAAGCATTCAACTCACTTGGCTCCTCCCAACAGTGAGCTCCACAGTGGTGATCCCGGTTTGCCGGGACTATGCTTTGGCTGTGGGAGAGTCCTCTACCGCAAGTGGACTCATGATTGGCGTTGTTCCCTTGGGTGCGCTAATCGGCATGGTGGCTGGCAAGGGACTGGTTACCGAGAATGATTGGAATCAGCGCTATGCTCGGAAGATTGTTCTTTACACCCATGGACTTTGGATATTCTCAATGCCTGCCATGGCAGTGATCATCCAGGCGTCTGTGGAATGGAGCCCTCATGGCAAACGCCTTTCATTTTGGAGCGTCTTATTTCTGTATTTCCTCACCGTGACTTTTGGCAGTATGATGATGGTTCCGTGGCGCACCATGTGGAATTTGTTTACACCCCAAACTGACAAGACATTCTGGTCGATGATGACACAATGTTCAAAAGCATTTGGCTTCGTAGGGGGGCCGATCTTTTTTGCCTTTGTCAGTTTCCTCGTCCACGGGAGCCAGGCCAGTCAAGTGTCTCCAATCAGCATGATGAGCTGGGCGTTCATGGGCGGCTGCCGGGTGGAGTTTGGACTGCTGTTCGATTTTGTATGATTTGCATCTCCGTTTCGTTGAAGAGCGTCCCCCCCAAGAAAGCTTTTTCGATTTACAGCCCTCGGTAGAAGAACCCAGGTTTCTTCATCAATGCCATCGAGTTACTGCTCGCTGCCGCCGTTTTCCCCACGGTAATTCAGCAAGCAGACAGCGACTCAGGCTTGGACGGGTGAAATTTTACAGGCATAAGAATACCAGGCCTACCCCCGGTAAGAAACCCAAACAGGATTGACTACGACAGTAAGCACGAAGTAGTTGCAACCTCAAGCTGCCATGCATATACAGTCGCAGTGACATGCTCCATGTATTTCTGAATGCCGTATTCCATTTCAAGCTCTTACCCAGGTCAGCTGCAGGCAGGAAGCGATTACCAACTGGAAAGGGCACCAGGAATTCGCGTTGAACGCCTGCCGCCCTCCGCTCGCGAGAGACTGGTCTGGCATCTCGACCTATACGCTAGTAATCGCAGGAATAACGGCATTGATAGTATAGCAGCTGTACTTGCCGTACTGGTTGTGATTGTAGCTCTTGTAGTACTAAAAACAATATAGTGCAGCAATTCTATGCGGGTATTCATTATAAGAACATTGATACCAGGAAATATATTTTTGCTAGCCATACAGTAAAAAAACTTGTATTCGCAATCAGAGCAGCCGTCGTAGGAATACCAAAGGCAGATCGTAGTAACAGTATAAACTGTGACGACATCAACACGAATGACACTAATCATGCTGATAGGGTTACGGCTAGTGATCTTAACAATGCTAACAATACAACTCAATGGCCGGATAACCGGACATGAGTATGCTTTACTGAGCTAGCAGCCGAGAAACTGCGCTCGCGTGTGTGTGTGTGTGTGCAACCCTGTTTCCAA